TCCTCTGGACATGTCCAAACCACTGTCCTTCCTCTGGACATGTCCAAACCAGCTCAGTCTGGTCTCTCTAACTTTATCACCCAGGTGTTCAACCTGTGCTGTACCTCTGATGATCTCATTCCTGATCTTGTCCATCCTTGTCACTCCTAAGAAGAACCTCAACATCTTTGTTTCTGCCACTTCCAGTTCTGTCTCCTGTCTTTTTGTCCATGTCTCTGTCTCCAGACCATACAACAGAGCTGGTCTCACCACTGTCTTTAAACTTTTCCTTTGACCTTTGCTGACATCATTTTGTCACAAATCACTCCTGGAACTTTTCTCCATCCTGCCTGGACTCTTCTTCTCCTCTTTACCACACTTTGTGTTTTCCTGGACAGTGGACCGTAAGTCCTTGAAGTCCTGCACCTTTGTGACCTCTGCTCCTTGTAGCAACGTTCTTTACTGAATATATAAAGAAACTTTGTAGCACTGAATATTTATAAACCAGTGGATGGTTTCCTTCACACACCTGTGCTTCATCAGTTATGTCAGCGTTTACCTTTTGATTATTGCGCTGTCCATCACTGGTGCTGCCCGCTGCCTCCATCTGGCCTCGGCCGTTGTTCCTGGGCGTCGTCTCCTGCGGCTGCTCGGGGCTGCAGTGCGCCTGCACCAGCTGTTTGACTCGGGGCACTGGCAGCAGGTAGTGGTTGGGATTGGACATGTAGGACTGCAGGTAGCTGTCCATGCTCACCCGGTGGTGTTTGGGAGGACACAGCTTTCCCTCTTGGTCCAGTATGGGGTCGTAGTTGGTCATGGGGTACGGTGAAACCTGCAGAGAAACAATAAAAGGATTTGCTGCAGATTATTCTGGAGTTACACAAGGAAACGAAGGCGTGTGGGCGTTTTAGATGTTGCTCATACGCTGCCATTCTTCAAGCCGCTGAGGTATTCCTGTGTCTGGAGCTCCACGCTAGCTGAAAGGTTAGAAGGAGGGTTGGCTCGAGCTTTCGTCAGAGCCTGGTGCAGAGCTGGGATGGCCTCTTTCAGCCGTGGCATCACCGAGGCACCGGACTTTACTGACTCGTGTGGAGAGAAGGCATAACATGACGCTACAGGGAGAAAAACAAAAAGTTCAGCATTCAGGTACAACGAGTCAAACAAGCATTCTGTTCAGACTGAGTCTACAAAAACCTGCACAGGTCTGAGATCAGGCTTGGATCAAACACGTGATTACTGTAAAACAGCGTGGGCCGATTCCTGCACGTATCACCGGCATTTATGAGTTATAACTGTTTTTGTGTTTCCAAGTCTTCTTTACGTCAGAGAATAGTTCTGCAGTTTTACGTATGATCCCACTTCTTGTTAGTTAAATTAAAGGGAGGAAACGAGTCGAGGAGAAAATGATCACTTTTAATTTATCTTCTGTTTATGAATCTACACTGAGGACTCTTCTACACAAACACAAGTGAACGTACCGGACAGGCTCACGTGTTTACAACAAGTTTCTGCCTCCAAACCAAAGAAATGCTTTTAAAATGAGTTTACTTCCACTGGAACCTCTTAGAGTCTGTAACCAGCAGAGCAGAACTCAGACGCCTGTTGTTGAACGTCAGACACAGCCGGTGTGCCGTGATTGGACTTACTGAACTTGGACACGTCTCTGGGCTCCGGGAAAACAAACAAGGCCTGCAGACACCTCTTCCAGGTGTCTCCCCTTTCTAAAAACAAACAAAAATAAACCTCAGTTAACGTGTCGTTCTGTCGCCTGTTACTTATTTGCATTACGACAACATGTAACATAGAATGACACTTCTAACATCGAGCAAAATTAAGTCAGAAAAGCAAAATCCAACGAAACAAAAATGTAAGATTAATAATTATCACTATATTTATTTCTTGTGCCTCATTTTAAAGTATGTTGTAATGTTTTTTAGCTGATTAGACGCAGTACCTCACTGGGCTGCCACGATCGGAGATGAGTCGATTTCAAATGTTCTCATGCGTTCTTCCTTATTCTGAGTGTTTGTGACAAAGCCAGCAGGGACGTGGAAGGCTTTTTTTATTTTTTATAACTTGCAGAACCGTATTTCTCACCGTGCACTTTATTTTATTGCCAACCTCCACATAAATTGTACCCACCTGTGCACAGTTCGTACCAACCAAGGCTCCACAGTTACGATTTAAATTACTGGAACGCACTTTGAAATGAAGACGAGCAGAGTTGGACCTTTTATCACTTTTAAAGTAATTATTACTGAACAGATGTTTGTCTGGAGATTTTTTTTGTGTGGGTCAAACCACAGCTCGAGAATTATGAAAACTAAACGTTAAAGACAGACAAGTCCAAGAAGCTGCAGTTATGTGACTCTTCTTCTTTCAGCTTTTCCCTCTTCAGGGGACTCCACAGAGAGTCATCCTCCTCTGTCCTCACTCTGTCCTCTGTCCTCACTCTGTCCTCACTCCAACTACCTTCATGTCCTCTCTAACTGCATCCATTTATCTCCTCTGTCTTTGTCCTTGCAGCTGCATTTCTAACATCCTTCTACCAGTATACCCACTGTCCCTCCTCTGGACATTTCCAAACCAGTCCCTCCTCTGGACATGTCCAAACCATCTCAGTGTGTCCTCTCTAACTTTATCTCCCAGTTGTTCAACCTGTGCTGTACCTCTGATGATCTCGTTCCTGATCTTCTCCTTCCTTGTCTCTCCTAAGAAGAACCTCAACATCTTCATTTCTGCTACGTCCAGTTCTGTCTCCTGTCTTTTTGTCCATGTCTCTGTCTCCAGACCATACAACATAGCTGGTCTCACAACTGTCTTGTAAACTTTTCTTTTGACCTTTGTTGAAACCCTTTTGTCACAAATCACTCCTGAAACTTTTCTCCATCACTCCATCCTGCCTGGACTCTCTTCTTCACCTCTTTACCTCACTCCCCATTTTCTTGGACAGTGGACCCCAAGTCCTTGAAGCCCTGCACCTTTGTGACCTCTGCTCCTTGGAGCCTCACTGTTCCACCTCCTCCCTCTCATTCACACACATGGACTCTGTCTTACTACGACTGACTTTCATTCCTTTTCTTCAAGTGCATACCTCCACCTCTCCAAGTTCTCTTCCACCTGTTCCCTGTTCTCACCACAGATCATAATGTCATCTGCAAACATCATAGTCCACGCGGATTCCTGCCTGACCTCATCTGTTAGTCGGTCCATCACCAGAGCAAACAAGAAGGGGCTCAGTGCTGATCCTTGATGCACTCCCACCTCCACCATTATTTTGAGATCTGTTGCTCAGATTGTTCTGAACATATTCAATAATCAAGTGAAATGACTGAGCGCCTCGGAGACTCACACGAGGAAACTGAGAACCACCACAAATGTTTCCAGACATTTTGAAGACCCTCATGAACGCACCGGCCCAGTGAGATACTGGTTTCACTGAGAAGATTCAAATGTGCCTCAAATGTTTAAGTGTGTAGACACAGTTTAGATCGACTGGTTCGACCACATTAAAAGTGTAGTTGAATCAAACATCAGAAGATAAAGAGCTGTGGTGAAGCTCTTTATTTTTAAGTGTCAAATATAATTTGCTACATATTTCAGCAGTTAGTCCCTTCAGTCGGTGTCTTACCGGACAACGTGCACATCTGAACACTGGACAGCAGGAAGAGAAAACCTCTTTCTGTAAGCGGACTCACTAGAACCTGCAGGAGAAACACAAAACATTTTATTTGAGGGGAAAATACTGTCATTACAAATAAACACTGACAAGGACCACCAAATAAATAATACAATTTTAACATTTAGTTAGTACTTTCCTTTGACAGAAAGGGTGGACACGATGGAATCAATCCAATTTATTTCATTAGTTTCTCCAAGAAACTTCTTGTTGGTCGGTGACGACGTTTCAAAGGCAAAATGAGTTATTTTGAGTAAATTGTACTAATTAACATAATATAAATGTGTTACTGACATAAAGGCCTGCCTTTATTATTTATTGATTTAATTTCAGGCATGGATTAAAACCGAAAAAAATATTTTTGTTAAGAGGCCTGGGAGGCCCAGAAGTGGAAACTTGAAGAACGCTCCCACTTTTATGAGCCAGGAACTGATCACTGACAGAGACTGCTCATGAGAACAGGAAGCATCACAGGTCAGTCCCAGGTCAACCTGCTGGTCACAGGACTGGACCGTACCAGACACGGACCCAACATCAAGATGGGCCCAGTGTCCCTACGGAGGCCATTCTGTGTCATCGGATCCTTCCTTACACAGCTGCAGCAGCCTGGAAGGAACGGAGCTGTGCACAGTGGAAGCCGTCACTTTCAGCCAATTAGAGGCGACCGTGTTGGAGAGAACAAGTTGGAGCAGAAGAAATGGAGACTGAAGACAATAATCACTTTGATTATGTGTTTAAAGTGCATCTTTTTTTCATAACCAGAGAAGAAGGTGTTTGTAACCCTGTTCTTTATGTATAATCATATGATACGATGACGTCCTGATGCACGCTCATATTATGACATACAATAATCATATAATAATGATTTGATGTAATAATAAGTTGAAATAAGGTGGCTGCATGTTGGAGCAGCTCTGTTACTTTCATTCTGAGATTTTGCCTTTGGAAACTTTAATTCCTGGTTTTCTGGATGTAAATCACATGTTTTGGATGATTGTTTCCTCTGGTTTCAGATGCTGTGCAGCTGGAAGGATTTTTACTGAAACTTTTTTGGTTTTGGACATTTGTTATGATGCGTAACCATGGCAACAAGGCAGTTTTCTACAACAACAGCAGCTGAATAACATCTCAAAAGCTCAAATAATATCTCAACTACAGCCCCAAATCTCAAATGAGTTGAAAAGGATGTTCTGTGGACGCATTCTCATCTACCGGCCGGCTGTGCTAGGGTGCCTGATCACTGGGGTCCTGGAGCTGGCAGGAGACGCAGCTCACGACAGCGGATAGACGGGATCGTCCCTCGGCACCTGCAGTTGGCTGTCCGCGGCTGTGAGGAGCTCAGCAGACTGCTGGGAGGAGTGGCCATCGCTCTGGGAGGAGTTCTGCCCAGCATTCAAGCGGTCCTATAGCCCGGGGGAACCGAGAGGCCAGCCGAGTCTGAGTGGACGGATCGGACAACATCTGCAGCCAGTTTCTTAGGATCCACTGTGGGATGGACCTTTACAAGAGATCCTTCCTGTCTACAGCATCAGCATCTAAAACATCTCTTAATGAAATGAGGATAACAAGTTACAACAACAAATAATTTCCCTTTGGGATTAATAAAGTATTATTGAATTGAATAATAATTATATAATAATCATATAATATAATAACCATATAATATAATAATGATTTGATATAATAATCATATAATATAATAATCATATAATATAATAACCATATAATAATGATATAATAACCATATAATAATGATTTGATATAAAAATCATATAATAATAATCATATAAGTAACAATAATAGAAAATTTATTTTTGTCTTTTAATTTTTAGTCAGGCGGAGGTAGACAGAGATTGAGACATACTTCTTATTTTTATTTTGATGTAACCTACACTTCATGGGAGTTGTTTAAGTACACAACACCTTTTATACTTTTCACTTTTAATAAAATCTTTGCCTGCGTGCACAAAATTAAATCAGCAGCTCCTGGTGATTCCCAAGTTCTGGTGAGTTACTTTAAACTTTTTTCCTTCAGCGTTTTTATTTGGCACCGTACAGGGCACATGCAGAGGTGGACCTAAAGGTCTGAGTGTGACCACCTGTCTGTTGCTACAAGCCCCGAGGAGCGCGCCGGGACCTTCCCTGCGTGGACTGTGCATCTGCGGGAAGGATCAGACATGGGGGGGGGGGGTTGTCTGGGCGTTCCTCTGGATAATGTATCGACAAGTCGACGACATCCTGACCTCTTCCCACCGAGGCAGAGCAGTTTAAAATCGCATTCATCCAGCGGGCCAGCGAGGGTCGCACGCTGACCGTGTGTTCGAATCAAGTCGGTGGAATGGACTGAACTTATCCATGACCTTTTTATTTTATCAAGACGCTCAAAGCTCTTTACAACACAATCTGTGCCTCATTTACCCATTCAAACATACTAGATCTCTACAGAGACTAATCATCATGCACCGATGGGACACACATCGGAGCCACTGAGGGGTTCAGTGTCTTGCCCAGGGACACTTCAACATGTGACTGCTGGTGGAATCAAACCCCCAACTCTCCCATTGGAGGGCGACTGCTCCGACCACTCGGCCACAGAATTTTACAGATGACGGAAATCCGTCGTGGCGACGGAGAACTTTAATCCAACGTAAACTCTCCAAGTGTCTAAAGACCACAGCAGATCCCTGAAAACTTCTGCAGCTGCTCATGTAACGTCAGAAAAGTTGGAGGAACCCACCACTCCTTTCATCTCCAGCTCCTGCAGCAGTTTCGTCACGTTGATCGTAGATCGATTTCTGTCAGTCACCTCCAGAAGACTGCAGTTATAACCATCAGCCACAACTGCACACAAAAACACCACTTAGATCCCTGACAGGCGTTTCTGAATCTCAACACATTTTCTTTAAACCATCTCACCTTCCTTGCTGCCGCTGTACAGGTTGTAGCACAGCAGGCCGGAGGGGATCAGTTTGGCGACGCGATCAAGTCTTATCAAATACCCAACGTCCAACTTCTCTGGTCTGAAGGAGACGGAAAGAAAACAGTCATTTTAAAACGGCAGGGTTTAACTGTGACTGAATTAAAGCAGCTAATAAAAGAATCAGAAACAATATTGATCGAAAAGCTTTATTCAGAACTCACAGCCTGTGAGGCAGGAAGGGGACGGAGCTGGACCTTAGAGACACTTGGACAAGAACTCGGCCGTTTTTCACCAACTCTCCGCTCCACACGGTGAACTGCATGCGCTCTGAAGAAAACAACAACAAAGTGAGCAATTCACATAAAACAGGACTTATTTTGTCCTTTGAAGTTTTATTTAAAGTCTTGCAATCAATGGAAAAAAGGACAGAAACAGCTGAACTTGCTCACCGTTAGTCCGTTCAGAGGGCTGACTGTTCAACCTGCAACCAAACAAACCAAAGCGGCCGATCAGATCAGGACCGAGTCCATGAATCTGGGATCTTTGGAGTAATCTCTGACCTCTTAACAGAGCACCACAACAAAATCTAGAACCTTCGAGGGTCTGATTAATATCCATTAATATATAATATACATTACAAATTACTTTGTTTATTTTGTATTTAATCCGTTTATGTAAAGCTCCACAAAAACCTGAAAAACTGAACTTGAACAGCTCCGTGCTTCAAAGTGTAAATCGTATTTCTGTACCTGATGGGCGCAGCAGGTTTGCTGGGAAGTGGAGCGTCTTTTCCTTTAACGTGGAAGGAAACGACGGCGTACGGACACACCTGTCGAGGCCGCTGCCGCAGCTCGTCGAACGAATACTCGTAAAAGTATTGCTAAAAATAAAGACGTGAGTTATGAGTCTTCGAGGCTCAATGTGACTCATCTGTTTCAATAAAGGTTGAATGAATGAATGAATAGTTTCTCTGAGGACTAATAAGACTGCCATAAGTACGTCAGGTTTGTTTACAAGAAATCAGCCATTAACATAAAAAGTGTACGATGTTTTATTCACAGAAGAGAGTGGGGGTTTCTAGAAAATGACATCATTTATTTTAATTCAACCTTTATTTCTACAGGTTAGTCTCACTGAGTCACAAGGACTCGTTTACAAGAGAGAGCTGCTCTGCACTGGGGCCACAAAACATTTTCATCGAGTTTTCTTCTGTTTGAGAGAAGCGAGAGTTCAGCGCTGAGCAGGAAACAGAATGAAATGTAACTCTTCAGTGTTGGACTAAACTCACCTGAGTGAGTTCAAAAGCGCAGTAGCAGGTGAGCGAGGTGACCTTGCTGGCGTTCTTGGCGATGTGGCTGTCGAAGCGAGGCGTTGGATCTTGAACAATCTTCATGTTTTCAGAAACGCTCTTAACTTTTCCCTGAAACCAAAAACACAAAGATGATCTCACACTTGTATCGCTCCTTCATGTGACATAAATCCTGTTAGCTACCTGAAAATTGGCACGTTACAACAATGTTTTATTTTTTAACAGAAGGCCTGACGAGGACGTCGACGACAAGCTGATTTACCTTCATCACCTTGAAGATAATGATCTCGCCTGTTGCTCCAGGAGTGAAGGGGTTGGACCGCAGCAGATCAGAGTACTTCGACAAATACGCGCCTGGAAACACAAACACATTGAAGTACAGGGTTCACAGCATTTCATGAAAACAAAGTTTTCCCTGAGTAAATCCTGAAATTCCAGGAGGTATTTCAGTCACACAAAACAGTCAGAACTAGGCCTGTCACAATGACAAATTTTGCCGGGTGATTAATTGCCTCAGAAATTATTGCGATAAACGATAATATCGTTTGAAATTTGACAATAATTGGTAATTATTGTCAAATTTAAGAAGAAATGCTGGTTCATTTTTGTGTAGTACCTTTTTTGACCACTGGATGGCAGTATAAGACCGTTTGAACCGAAGGATGGATAGTGAGGGAGCGAGCAGCGCGTCTCTCTAAGAAAAATGAGAGGGAGGCCCCTTGACGTGACATGGGCTCTCTCTTTGTTTATCAAACTGGCAGATGCTCGGTGTGGTTTGAGCTCTTTAGCGTTTTTCACACCAAGCTTTTAACAAATAAATCAGTAAACAAGTTTGCAGCTTCTTTTTGCGGAAAAAAAAAAAACTTTTTACACAAAAGCACGGGTTTCAACCGTGAATTTTGGAGCTTCGAAAAGACGCCTGTTAGCTTAGCTCGTAGCTTAGCTTCTCAGCTTAGCTGCTTTTAATGCTCTAAAAACACGATTTTGGACGGTTAAATTGGATTTTAAAGAAATGAGAAAAAAGAGGAAGGGAGGGTCAGTGAAGAGCACCGGAGTTGTCTTTTGTCATCCAGTGTCTTCAGTAGAAAGAGAGACACGAAGAAACGATAAAGCCGATAAATGAAAATGAGGTTGATAATTTTAATTTATCATGCGATTAATTGATTTATCGTTTATCGCGACAGGCCTAGTCAGAACGTAACATCTCAGGGAACAGGCGGAGCCACATTCAGAGACAACAGTAATTATACTGTGGCCTAAAGTACGTGCGTGCAACAATCCTTCCTAATAATGAATTATATTTTATAGCATCAGAAACTAAAAAGCCACCAGGGCCCATCAGTAAGGCTACAAGTCCTGTGCGCAGTCGTGAAGCAGAATATGGACTGGCACTAGAATACCACTATCAATAAATGTACGCGTTAAAAATCTCTGAACTAACGTCTTTTAATGAGCAGATCAGAGTTTGAATTCTCAGAGTTTTCCCTGTCTGGAAAATGTGCGTCATTTTCCGGGTTTTCCCTGATTTCCAGAGTCACTGGGAACCATGACAGCTGAGCTACAGCCATTAAGTCTTCTGCAGACATAAAACTTGTGTTTGTTTCTAAATTAGTGTGTTAAATAGTGCTACGTGTTTTCAATAGTAAGAGTTATCAGTGGCAGTTAAATATTTATCTCTTTGTAGAGCATGAAGTGGGCCAGCGATCCTCAGTACCACCACCTCTAAACATTCTCTCTTAGTGTTGCGTCACTTGTTAAAACATGCCGCCGCTCTCAGAGTCACCAACTGGAAGCTACAGCCGAGTCTTGAACCGTGTTCCTCACAGGACAGTGGTTAGACAGGAAGTCGCGACTCGCTCTGCACTGCTTCTGACTGGGCCGGGTGTCGAGCATCGGGTGACACGGGGCTCGCGAGGAACAGCGATTGGTTGAAACTTCAGTGCAAGGAGCCAAACGGAGGCACAGCTGGGAGCGCGCCAGGAAATGTATCATCGGAAATATATAAAATATAAAGAAATACTCTAAGACGTGTCGATGGATCAGCGGCACAGAGAGGAGGATTGTTACCATAAGTAAACAGTAAATCTGCTGGGGTGAAATTTAAGTCTTGAGCAAACAGGAAGTGGTTGTTTAACATGAAAGTGGAGCAACACATCAGGTACTGGGCCCAGACTCGGGCACCAGCGACCCAGAAAAGAAGGAGGGGGTAAATAAAATGGACGGATGTTTTAAAGTTACTTCAAACAAGAACAATCCTAACTGAATAAATGCATCTAACTTCTGACTGTAGGAGAGACTCTTTGCGAGCCGCTCTCTGTACAGTCGTCTGCTCCGTCTCACCTTTCCGAGGATCTCCCAGCAGCGTGATCCTGCTCTGACCCACAGTCAAACCCTTCTCGCACAGAACCGGCAGCTGCAGCAGAAAAACACAAACACAAGTTGGACATGATGTTCAGCTCAAATGATAACTGTCTTAAAGGCATAAAAAACATTTAATTTTACCTCGTTAAGTAGATTTCATATCCATAAAACAACTCAAGAGCAAATCATCCAGCAGACAAAAAGCTGCGACTTGCTAAGAGCTAAATAAACGCAGCAGCAAAGTGTTATTCTCACCTGGGCTGACGTGGTCAACAAGAAACAATAACTCTCCTCCATCTCTTTATCCGTTCTTCCGTCAGCCTTCATTTCCTTCCTCTTTTCCACGAACTGAAACAATTTATTCACCAGACAGATCAATCAACTAATCAGATGCTAACATGGATGAACAGATTTTTCACTATTTCTAAATCACAAATTATTTCCCATGTAGAGAAACCAGTGAAAGAGTTGGGAGAGAAGGTGCTCGCCATCACAGCTTTGGAGCGCAAACCTCACGTGGAGGTCATCGGCCGACCTCTGACCACAAACAGACCTGCTGAGGCTGCATTTGGAAAGATGAACTCTGAATGTTATGAATATGAATGTTTTAGGATCAGCAGGTGCAGGTCGACCTGTGATCAGAAACGCCCCCAGTGGGACCAGTGATGATCCAGTGGGGTCTTTCCTCAGTAAATCCTGGGGTTCGGTCGAACCAGACACCGAGGGATCGGGACTGGAGGTCAGGACGGGCTCTGCAGAGTTAGGAGTCCAAAAGCAGAAGGAAGAGAACTGTACCCGCCAACAGGATGTTAAATAAATCAAATAAGTGTACGTGGGGGAAGCTCGGGTTTTTTTGTCCGTCTGTTGCTTTTGATCTTTTGTTTTTGTAGCTTTAGAACAAAATAGAATGTAACTTATGACTTAAAAACCCCTTTTTAATATATAATAAAATCTACCTCATGGGACTCATGGGCCCCCTTATTATTTTTTAAGCGTTATCTTGATTTTTCTCAAAAACGTTTGGCTCTCAGAAGTGATCAGCAGTGATCAGCAGTGATTTGTAGCCTTCAACTTAACCCGGTTGTTAATAGAAATCCCACTTGTCTTGTAAGCTTGCAGGTTTCATGGTTATTTGGTCCTATTTTGGTCAAAGAATACTAATGTAAAGAATCTAAGAACAGGTGGAGTCAGGTCCTCTGGACGGATTCTTCCTGTTGAAATGTTTCGTCTTTAGTCCAAAAGACTTCTTCAGTCTGAGGAGCTGCAACAAACTCAGTCTTATAAATATCACCTTCTCATAGTGGATCAACCAGTTTGTTGTCGACATCAAGAACTAGCTGTTCACGTGCAAAAGGAGGACCATCAGCCTAACGACCGGTCGTTTGCACCCTATCAATTGATCGTTCGTGCCCTGATGGCCACTTGCTATTCACAGAGGGCTGAGTGTTATTAGCAATAACAGCATTGTAAGAGGGGGCCAGTTGAACACGGGGGCCTCCACCCACGTTTAATGATGGACAAGCTCTCTTCACAAAGATGCAAACTCACAATCACAAAGGATCTTGCATCCTGGACAGAGAGGAACGATGGTTTGAGAGAGGAGTAAAGGAGGCCATCTTTGTGAAAAGAAACCGTCCATCGTTAAACAGGGGCGGAGCCTCTGGGTTCAACTGTCCCCCTCTTACAATGCTGTTATTGCTAGTATCACTCAGCCCTCTGTGAATAGTAAACAGCCATCAGGTGCTAATGATCCATTGTTAGGCTGATGGTCCTTCTTGAGCATGTGAGCAGCTGGTTCTGGATGTCAACAGCAAACTGGTTGATCCACTCTGAGAAGGTGCTATTTATAAGACTGAGTTTGTTGCAGCTCCTCAGACTGAGGAAGTTTTTTGTACTAAAGACGAAACATTTCAACAAAGAAGAATCTGCCCAGAGGACCCGAGTTAACCTGGTTAGATTATCTACCTGGATTACTGAGCAAGCATCAGAACATTTCTAAGAAAAGTCAAAGCACTGAGACTCATGTGAATATTTAAAAACCTTCACCTCCTTCTCTAAGAGTTCGCTGTGAACGAGCCGAGGGTTGCTGTAGGTGAAGCAGACGGCAGAGTTGGTGTCGATGTAGCTGGAGGTTAGGACGGTCTTCATGTCTTCGTATTCCCTGGACTCAGTGGGGACGAACTGGAACAGGGCTAAAAATAACAAAACAAAAAGACGTGTCATAATCACTACTCATCACTAACGCTTAGAAAGTGAGTAAAGCAACTTTCAGTAGAGGTGACCGTGTGCATGAAGGCTGATAAATGAACCTGCTTTGAAGTGCAACACTTTATTTTCCTGTGAGTTCTGGGTTTGACAAATCTGTTGTTTTTTTAAACAAAAGAACTGAGTGGCTCAAAATGGAAACAAGACGGAAAGACTTTTAGGACAAACAGTCCAGTGGTGATGTTGCTGCTGTTGATCAAATATCCAAACTCATTTCCACTGAAACAAACTTGACGCCAGTTGTGCCTCCACCCCTGGACCTGCAGCAGGAAACTGAAGCCCCAGCGCAGATGGAAACTGTCTCATGAAGCCTTTCTCTTTGACAGTTTTGCTTGTAAGTTCAGTCAAAATCAAAGCACAAAGGCTTTAATTTACACGAGTGAGGGTTTTGGCAGATCACACGGTCTCGTCCAGCAGTTGGAGCGCAGCCAGGCGGGAAGCCGGGTCAAGAATTTATAGGTGTCATTGTAGCACCGGTCACTGTACTGAAGGTGCACCTGCTAAAGACCGTCGGCGAGCAGAGAGGACGAAGCGTCGGCAGCAGGCGCTGGAGATAAAACTGCGATGTGGCGCTGCGTCCAGCTTCTCTCTCTGACATGTAAATAACAGCGCAGGCAGTTTCTTTACGTGGAGCTTTTATCAGATGACGGATCAGAGTAAACTCGGCATCAGTTAGTAGCGTTGATCAAGATTTACTCCTGATGAGACGCTCTGCTGTCGGCTTTAAACAGAAAACTACGTGAGGGCAACCTTCTAGGGCAGGGGTCTGCAAGCTGCGGCTCTGGAGCCACATGCGGCCCTTTGGTCCCTCTGCAGCGACTCTTTCAAGCTTGGACCAAAACTGACGTAAAACTGAATTTTATCGGTTGGAATACAAACAACAACACAGGACTCGTTCAAACAGTTTTCCTGTCATTTCTTTTGCAAATATGAGAACACTGGAGAACAATAAGTAAAACGTACTTGAACTTGATATTTCTTTATATGAAGAACTGTCTGCAGAGTTTATATAGATTTTTTAAATTAAAAAAAAAGGTTAAAAACTGATTTTTCCCCCTTTCTTTACAAGAATCTGGTCTTTTTCTTTAATAAATGTTAAAAATCTTTAGATATGTTTTGCTCACCCTTACTGGCCACAACAGCCGCCCTCCAGCAAACCTTAAAGTGGCCCACGCCCACCAGTTGATAACCACAGGTGTAGCAGGTTGTTGAAGCTCCCGACACGTTTAATGTTTAATGTAGTGACCGAAGGCGAACAAAATGTCTCTTGATCGAAACGGTCGCAGACCCCCGTTCTAGAGAATATAATCATCTTAAGACGTCCAATCCACAACTGCTCCACGGGCGCTTACCAGTACATAGCTGCCCACTGCTCCACCTGGGTGCATCCCAGGTGCAATAGGTTAAATGCAGAGAACCAATTTTGCCATTGTACAGGAACATACAATGATGAAAACACTTAATCTCATCTGAGCTCAAGTCTGAGCTGCAGACTTCACCATCAACACTTTCTTTGACGGCTGCTCTAATTCATCCGTCTTCAGCAACGTTCACCCGTGACTGCGACTCAAAATGTCCCAGTCTGTTAAATTTCATGTTTTACAGATAGTTTAACGACTGTCACAATCTGTGTGGGACTTTTTTAGTCATTATTTAGGCATTCTTCTGCATTTTGATCTGAAAAACAGAATGTGGTTTTATGGGTAATTTTGCCACATTAAGCAGAGAACACTGAGAGAACAGGAGACACGTGAATGAATATTCTGCAAGCAGGGACGCAGCTTGTCCACTGTTGTCTCCACTCTTTGTTAAAAACAGGTCTCTCTTGTAATTGTCCCCGAGGCTCAGCGGGACTAACCTGTCTAAATAAAGGTTGATTGAATGAAAATGACGCATGATGTCATCTCCCAACATTTAACAACTTGTAAAAACATCTGGTTTTAAATTACCGACAACACTTTAAAAACAAAAACCAGCGGAATAACATTAAATCTGTTGTTTCTACACAAGATCGTACAGAACAGATACACGGACTAATTGGGTCGGCTCTTTCAGTTTCTGTCTCGATAAGGACTCCACTAAATTAACAGCACCTGTGCAGCTTGTCTGGCACCAGGCCTCAGGAGACTCCAGAACCACCTGCAGGTGTGGCAAGGACTCAGCTGGGCCCTGAATGCCTCACAGAGGAGGTGGCAACGTGCAACCACATGCACGACTTGTAATTTAACAAAAGGCCACACTCCCTGCTACAGACGAAACGAGACACAGAGAGATGGAGGACTCACTGTGGAGACGCCTGAAGATGGAAAAGCCGAAAGAAGAAGATTCAATAACTAACAGCAGACTTCCTGCAGGAACATCATAATATGTCTGTCCTTTAAAACGAACACTAAACTGACTGCAGGTGTGCGTGCACGCGTATTTGTTGCACCGGCTCCCTTGTTGGCCCTCTGACGTGACCTCCAGGTGCCTCCTGTTGACAGCTGGAGATAAGCCCCACACAGGTCGATGTTCGTCTAACAGGCCGAGCGTTAATCTAGATCAGGAGTGCGATTGTCAGGAAGTTGAATTTTAGTAACCCGTCCAAAAGAACAGAAAAGGTTGTTCATAAACAGCAGTTTATGATTCATAAAGACTTTTTTAAATACTGCTTTCGTAAATGGGCGGCACGGTGGTACAGCTTCCGCCTCTCAGCGAGGTTGCTGGATAAAATCCCAGCCGGGGAGCCACTCTGGGTGGAGTTTGCATGTTCTCTTCGTGCTGCGTGGGTTTGGTTCCCTCCCACACACCAAAAACATGAAACACTGAGATGGATGAAATTCTGAGAAATGAGTTGCTTTAAGATGACAGTGTGTTCAGACTAGCCATTAGCTCATCAGTTTGGTCAGAATTAAAACCACTTCTCTGAACTGAGGTCGTTCACAGTGATATCTACAACATGTAGGTTAGTTATTCAGTCGGCGTGAGACCTGTAGTTCAGAACAGACTGCTGAAATATTAAAACGTGAAGAAAACTAGGGAGAAAATTTGAACTTTAGGTCCTTTGAAAGTTGTTTTTGACAACAAAAACTACAAAAACGTCAAACAATATTGTGACTTAGCACAACTATCCACAAAAAAATAAAAACATGTTGAATGTGGGGCATTTAGAGATGAAATCCGTTGATGATTGAATGTTTTTTTTTAGAGTAAACAGTGAAAACATTTTTTAACAAAACATGTTCAATTACGGGCTGCACGGTCCCTGGTTCAAACCCCGGTCCAGGGTCCTTTCTGGGTGGAGTTTGCATGTTCTCTCTGTGCATGCGTGGGTTTTCTCCGGGTGCTCCGGTTTCCTCCCACAGACCAAAAACATGCATGTTAGGCTGATTGGTAACTCTAAATTGTCCCTAGGTGTGAGTGAGAGAGTGAATGTTTGTCTCGTTTGTCTCTATGTGTCCCTGCGATGGACTTGCGACCCGTCCAGGGTGTCCCCCGCCCCTCGCACAGTGATTGCTGGACATGGGCACTGGTGACCCAAAATGGAAGAAGCGGGTAAAGTTAATGGATGGATAATTACAAATATCATGCATTTTCTATACATGCCAAAAACAAGACACTAACCGCTGGTTCTAGGTCTTTCTGTGGCAAAGAGTTTAAGAAGATAATATTAAACATTCCAATAATTTTCATCCAGGTCATCTGGACAGTTTCTTGTCCAAATTATTGGATCGTATACCTGGATTATTGAGCATGGACTTTTTAAAATATATTAAAATATTATTAAAATAGTAGTCACAAAAACGTCATTAAATGTAGCAGAATAAAGATTTAATCATGCTTTCATAATGAAAACAGCAGGGTGGTATTTTTAACATAAAATGAAGCTCGTCTGTTGTTTATTGTGGGAGCACTGGGAGCACTGGGGGTTAATTAGGTAAATACAAATTATGAGAGAGCAGAGATCTGAGCTCAGCCTAACGTCACCAATACAGAACATTTATAGCTTTAATTTTATTCTGATGTTAATCTCAAACCCATCATGAAACAAAGTCACCGTGTCAGACTTGAATGTAATCTCATATTTAGTTAATCCGGGGATGTTTTCATCGCGCTCACGTTTTCACACAAAAATGTAAACATGGAGGCGGTGACCTCACGTCAGCTAACGCTCGCTAACGGGAACATACAGCTGAAACTCGGTTGTAAAATAAAATACAAACACGCCAAGACTTAATTTACCTAGAAACCAAAACATAGTAAACTTGTAACGACACATTACCGCAGCATTATAAATTACAAGCTCGTAATAAACGTCAACTAGCAGAATGCTAGCTGTTAGCATGCAATATATGCTAGTTCCGGTTGAAAACATTGCAGTTTGATCAGGAATCTTCCAGAACTTTAGTCAATGACAACTTTTATTAAATATGAACAGATACAAAACTAACGTAATAATAATTATTAGCGTTTTTTGTGCTTTGCAGCTACGCTAGCGTGAAGCTGTCCGATAATGGATACACGTTTGTCCGATAATTAAACTGCACCACCGCTCCGGGGACTAACTCCAGAGCACCGTTTAATTTAAAGTAAATCATCATCAGCAGCAGAATATAATTATTCTCCAACACCTCACCTTTCTTTTCTTTAGTTTTCCTCGGAATATGGAATTTATTTGGCTCCATCGGCATATGCCGCTGGTGGACCACTTGCGGTGCTGAGCTCCTCCGCTCCATCCTCCTCGCAGCGAAGCTCAGTCTGCCCGCGGTGGGGTGTGATTTTCGGACAGGCGCTACCATGACCACCTTGTCATGTCGCGAGCTAACGTTAGCTACCTGGTCGGAGGACACCCGCCGCGGACGGTTCGCCTCCCTGCGGACAAAGCTGTCGTCCATCGTGGGAATGTCCGCCAAAGCGACGAGTCTTTCCCCCCCAAGCCTCACTCTGACTCTGCTGCTCGGCTCGAGTCCCGCGATAAGACCGCTGTTCCCTCCGGGGCCCGCGGCGGCGACGGACAACACCGCAACATGACTCCTGCACGCGCAAATCTTCTTCGCTGAGAACCTGCTCAAAAGACGCGGCTCCACCGCCGCCTGCTGGCCAACCCCGAGAACAACGCTAAACTT